ATGAATCTAATTAACCTGGATTTAAAACAATGGCAATTTTATAGAAACGAACATGAGCACCATTATATTTGTAATACAATCACTACTTAATATATATTAATATCAATCATCAGGAAAAATTTTAAAAATGTGAAGCGTTGTTTAGTTCGCAACATATTATAAGATAAACATATAAACGAATGATGAAAACGTCACGGGCACACCCATTGATGCAGCAAAACAGCGCTACCAACTTGAAAGGTGAGAGTGAGAGATGAATAGCGCCCTCTTGTGTTAATGTTGTGGTCTCCGGAATTCACAAAGCTTTCCATTTAAATTATCGATATACATCTGCGGAAGTAAAATGCATAGGATATTATTTTAATCACCCGTGAAGTAAGTCATTATTGTAAGAGTTTATATTTTGTAATTCATTATATTCCTTTCTCCGAATGTGGCACGGGTAAGGAACGTCAATTGATTATATGCAAAAACAAGTTTTAAAGGGCGTTGGTCGTCGCGCTGCGCATGTGCGACATTTGTGTTGACGAACATTGATTTTCCCACAATCCAATGCGCCCTTTCAATAGAAATCACAAGTATGATGTTTGATGTTAATTAGAGCCGGTGACTTCTTCGATATCTCCCAATCACCTAAAATACCTAATTAAAGCAAGGTATTAAACGTCTCTGTTTGTACTCGTTGATTTGTGCAACAGTCAAAATCGTCAACTTTGTTTATATATATAGGGACTGTAATCGGCGCGGAGGACACAACTCCGAGCATAAAATCACGACATCAAAGCGGCAATGTAAGTATTTCTAAGCATGTTCAAATAATTTGTAATAATCATGCTACGATATGTTTTATGGTAAATGAACTATAATATTCCGACTTTAAATAAAGCATTATTTGTTAGATAGAATATTAAAAACGAGTTTCCATACTTGTGCAATTATAAAGTCATGGAACAGAATTGTCGACGGGGAGCTGTGTCGAGAGAGACCCCTACGACGAGTGTGTTTTGCTTCACGCCATGCATTCAAATTTGGCCTAACATACTAACACTTTGAAAGTTTTAATTCTTGATGAGCAGACTAAAATAAAAGTTGCATTGGAAACGTCGCATACGTATTTGAAAGCGTGCTAGTCACAGCAATGTCATATAATATAAGTCACGTGATCATAACGGATATATTTCAGACCACATGCTTGTCATTGTAAATAATTGACGTTATTGAGACTGTCTCTCAAAAATACGGAATATCGATAACACATTGCAACAACAAAAAATCAAATTACTTGGATCGTAAATTAGATGTCTTTCCTACCGAGGGTTTGTACTACTTCAGTGTAAACATTTGATGGAACATTGGATTTAAAAAAAAAAACTGAATGTGAAATGAGTGAAGATGTCAAAGAATGTCTTTCCCCAGGTTTAAAAACATATTTCACATTTTTTTTTCTGTAACATAACGCATACACGTAGTCGCACTTAAATATCCTCGGAACTTTAACCTGAATTTGGTTGGTAAAGTTGTCTTTAATGATTACGAAAGATATTAAACGCACAACCTACCCGCTCATGTATCTGCATAACATTTAATGGGTGTGTTCCATGGCGACCTATATCTTTAAAGCACGTTCGCCATTTTGATCCGATTTGTTAGATGTCTCTTCCAACAAACCTGTTAAATATCTGATGTAGTCAACCGCAAGTCGTAGGATTTCAATCTTCGACAATTTTCTATTATTTGGAGCGGGTACTGGGATCGGAATGTGGCATCTCAAATCAACCAGTGCGTCGTGAAAACTTCGCGTACGCCCCCTTTCCCTGGCATTGGCTGTCTGGCGTTGCTGGCTTAGACCTGTTAGTCTGGCCCTCCGACGTCTTCGTCTTCTTTCATCCCTGTTCGTCCTGTTCACGAGACATTTCAGCGATGTTTCGATCTTTTCATGTGTTGTGTCTGCCTCGACTTTTCTCGTCATCATGCACTCCGTTCAGGCTGCTGTGGATCTTTCACGGAAAATAGTCTGTAGGTCTGTATCCAATGCTGATGGATAAGATGTTTTCTGGCTATGATCGTACTCAACATTAGTTGCGATTGAACGAAGACGGCAGTTGTGCGTTGTACGTCTCTTCCATGTTAAGACATACGTTTTACCAACCGCCGTAGCTAAACTGGTATCATGACCCCGTTGTTAAACATAGCAAACTACATCTGTTTTTAATGGGAGGAATAAGAAGCTGAGAAAAGGGAAATAGTTGGCGCACAACGAAATACTATACTGTAAAAATACTAAGTAAAGTGCCTTAATTGGATGACCTCTCGCAATATCTGCAGGGGTTCGACATCAATGCACTGTATTTGTCTGTGGTCGAACGTGTCAGTCATTCTGAGTGACTCGAGCACTATGTCGCCCTCAACGTGTTTCTTTTGTCTTTTTTTTTTTCATGCTTTAGCTGTTTGGTGGTGTGCTTCAAGATTCACCGCACACACTGGAAACTATCAGAATTTATACGAAACTATCCCAATCATTTAGATGAATAAGCAGGTTCTGAGTAGAATATAACACCAGAGGGCTCACTTTTCAAAACTCTACCGTGCACGCATTTGGATATATTAGAAGCAAATGTTTGTTTGTTTGTTGTGTGGAGCAATCATACCACAATATTTTTTGAAATTGAGATCATGACCAATTTTTTTTTTATTTATACTTTTATTTATTAATAATTCAATCATGTATACGAAAATAAGCACTAAAAAAGGTAGTAAAATATTAAGTGCAATAATAATTTTTCAAAATAATTTTTAATCCTTTTGCAATATGAATATTAACGCTATTGGAGTACACACAAATTAAACTGAGATAACACTATTGAATAGTCTGTGACTGCAGCACTTTCGTGTATAAAATGCAAATTTAATAATTGTCATTTGACAAAAAGCGGAAATAAAGAAGTAGAACACCAATGGTTGTAACTACGGTTATCCTCGGGGGCGGAGCTACGTCACAAGACGTTCCACGTTGCTAAGACGCGCACCACTGTACATGCATTTCTATGGGCTCTGTGCGCGCTGCTGTGGAACGCTGGTCAAGCCGGTGAAAATTCGAGAAAACAACACAAACTCAACTTTGAAGTAATCCCGAACAACCAAATGTATATATGTTACACACGTAGGGCTAATCTTGTTACACTGTTCAGAGGAGTCTCAACAGTCATCCCAAAGTACCGTTTTCTGCGAGTTTTGGGCCTTTGTTTTCACCGCCGCCGGTTGCCAGGCGGTGAAAATGCCCGGATGTCCGCGCCCGAGGATACATTCGAATGACGAAAGATCGAATGGAATCACACCCTCACACGGGCGCATTTGCACCATACAAACGTCACTGTATGATCAAGGTGGGGAATGCACGAGGGCCGGAATTAGTATGCAATTGATCGAGTTCAACCACGATTTCGAGAATAATTTGACAGCGTATATTCAGATTAATTTGACGCACTGCTAACAAAAGTAATAATTCTGACGAAAATCTATAACTATAACAAGTTTCCCCTCAAATATATGGTAAAGACGCTCTAATTATTTAATTAGTTAATTATTTAAAATTGAATTTAAAATTGAAAATGATATTACGTAGTCTTGATTTTTCACATACAAATATGCGTGATCATCTTGTCAACTATTGGAATTATTTTCAATTCAGAAAATTATAGAAAAAAAAACTGAAATTGTATTGGAAACGACTCGGAGTTACCGAGTTGCCCAATTTCGAACCCACTTGAGATACGATCTGCGAAAATAAAGACGTTTTTATGAATCCGATGAAGGCAGAGGTACCGATTGCTTGTCATTGACGAACGCCGGTTGAAAGCCGCCGATGTAAACCCATAACCCGTGCACTTTCACAATCGACAACCAAACGAAACATTTTGAAAACACACTCATATATTAAACAAAATATTAGAAAAAATAAATAAAAATAAAAATAAAAAAGAATAATAAAAATAAGAGAATGTGAATATAAAAATCCGAACAAGGATATCATTTTGTTATACAAATTATTATATAAATAAATGAAACAAATATTAGCAAAATAAAAAATAACATTGAAAAATTAAAATTATAATAAACTATTGTTTTTTAAAATCAAATTGTTACAATTTTATCAAATTGTAAAATTCGAACAGTACATCTGACGATAAGTAAGTTATCGATACTCGTATTGCGGGTAGGTATATGAGCGCACTCGGTGGCTAATTTAAGTGACACCGACTGACGTAAGATGAATCGTCTGTTATGAATTGATTTATAAACATTGCCGTATATATTCATATTTCTCAATAAATCATCAGGAAGCAGAAAGCAAAACAAGTTAGAGCCACAACAACGTAGGTAGGTGAAGGGGTACGTTTATGTATGTACATGGGCGGCAAATCTAGTACCAGTAGTTATGTAAATCATCCAGTGGAAGCTGAGGGAGTACACCATGCTTCACGCTAATTGCATAATTTTTACACAAAGTTTACAATTTCCTGACGGCGTGTTATAGATTGTCCGTGTTAAATAACGCAATTCTATTATTATGCAATGTGTTAAACAGTAGTGGGAGCCGTTATTCGGTGAATGCATGGTCCAAACGTGGTTCCAGGTGTTATCGTGGGGCTCATTAATACAAACACATCATCTATCATGTAGCCTAATAAGTTGCGCTGTCGAAATTCATCGATCACAAACACGTCAACAAAAACTGTTACTCAAAGCTGAACGTTTTCGCGGCTATTCTTTACATTACAGCATTTCGTCAATGCGTCATTTTCACGAAGCGTTCCTCATTAGAATTGTTTTGGTGGTTAACCTGGGAAATCGACAGTGTGTTGGCGGTCGGCTTTGCATACATAGCGAGAAAACAAAGAAGGAAATCGAATTCTGTATTCTATCTGGTTTTACGCCCACACGCATCGATCGTGAACAATGTTAGCTTGGTCAACATTCGAGATTAAAATATTATACATATTGATTTTATTGTATTTTTATATAACCAGTCTCCATATTTAAATATTGAGTACAATTTAGAGTGGGAGTGTTAAAACTAGAAAAAAAAAACACCACGAGAAGTAATATATATTATTATATTAAAGTGAAGCTGTTTACCACCGACAAACTGAAGAGATATTTAATTTATTTATGAAAGTTCCATCATTGCAATTATTCCACCATTCACAATACATTCTGTTGACACGTGACAGTTGGGTAATAATTGTGAATATGTCCTAGCACCCCCATAGCAACTGAGTTTACCACGTTCAATTTTTGAGGTTACGACGGCTCAGCCCCAGATCACCTATCTTTAAGGTTACGATGTCCTAGTCCGATCACTAATTTATTTAACATGAGACACACCAGTCCCCGATTATCAGTCTGAAAGGCTATGACGTACCAATCTCGACCACTAATCGGGGTGGGCTGGGCTATGACGTACCAGTGTCGACCACAATCTGATATGCTATGGCGTACCAGTCCCCACCTAATATCTCTGAGTTACGACGTCCCATCCCACCTAATATCTCTGAGTTACGACGTCCCATCCCACCTAATATCTCTGAGTTGCGACGTCCCATCCGACCACCTATCACTGAGGTTAAAACGTCCCATCCGACCACCTTTCTCAGATGTTACGACGTCCCATCCGACCACCTTTCTCAGATGTTACGACGTCCCATCCGACCACCTATCACTGAGGTTATAACGTCCCATCCGACCACCTATCACTGAGGTTATAACGTCCCATCCGACCATCTTTCTCAAGAGGTTACAAGGTCCCATCCGACCACCTATCTCAGATGTTACGATGTCCCATCCGACCACCTACCTCAGAGGTTACGACGTCCTATCCGACTACTTATTTCTGAGGTTACGACGTCCTATCCGACTACTTATTTCTGAGGTTACGACGTCCCAACCGACCACTTATTCCAGAGGTTAGAAGTTCTATCCGACCACCCATCTCTAAGCGTACGACGTATTATCCGACCATCTATCCCAGAGGTCACAAATCCCATCCGACCATCCATCTCTGAGGTTTCGACGTCTTATCCGACCACCCATCTCTGAGCGTACGACGTCCCATCCGACCACATATCTCTAAGGTTACGACATCCATCCGACCATCCCTCTCAGAGGTTACGACGTTACAGGCCCGACCATCCCTCTCAGTGGTTACGGCGTCCCATTCGACTACCAATCACGGAGGCCATGTCGTTCCAGACTCATTATTACTGTCGATCTGTCATCCGATATAATCCAAACATATAATTTATTGCATTGACAAGGTAATAGATTCACGAAAATCAACACGGAAATTACAAATTTGTTTTCTTACTTTTAAGTGTTTTATTTCAAAGATATACACATCGGGACGTATTCGTAAAAGGTACGTTCTCTTCAGTTCTATTTTCGATACATATCAGAATCAGCTCCGTGGCTGGCAGCAAAACCCATTAATAGCGACTTCCACTCGATATCAAACGAGATTTTTTTTAATTGATCGATTTTATAAAAAGAAATCGGTCCTTTTGTGAAAGAGAAGTAAGGAGGCATGAGTTATTCTGGTAAATTGTATCTTCTGTCGTGTCTACCCAAAACGTACAAATCTATTGTAACCTGGTAAGCGCCCATGGGTTACAGTAAAATGTTATGTAATATACTGACGTCACCCAAACATGGTACTCACAGACACAAGTTTACACAGGCTGATTTTTTATTTCAGTAGCAACTGCGCCATCTATAGAGGGCGTGCATCTATCCATTCTGGTATTACCATTTGAGACCTACTTCGCACACAATTTAACGTACGTTTGAAAGCAGGTTAAATCCCGGATATATATTCATATCATATTGCAGTAACTGTCAGAGAATTATCCTTCTCGAAGGAAATAAATACTGTAAAATTTTGCTTTTTGTATCGATGATTTTTATCTTAGCTCG